CAGGCAGACATCCGCTTCAAGCCTCACCGCCTCCCTCGCTCTTTCTCCTCCCCTTACCCCCACCACACACACACCAGTTTATCAATAAGCTCATGATTTTCTCCTCCACGCTGCTCCTGTACCTTACCTATGCTTCATAGCCAAGAAGGCCCTCCTTCCTCGAAACACTTGACTGCCACCTGCTGGGAATTTGTCGGAACGGCTCCACAAATCTCTGCCATTTAGCAAAAGCCGAGGCGCATCCTGTGCAAGGCGCAGCTCACGCCACTGTAAGCACGGCCCTGCCTATGGCAGTGAGCATGCTGTCACGTCTGGATTTAGACCCTGTCTCTCCAGCTAGGTTGAGGGAATCTTGAACATTAGGACTGCGGATTCCTCCCTGTGTCCCCAGTGCCCCAGAGGCTAGAGAAATGCTTGCTGAATGATCCCGATGCAAACACCTGTTACCCTAGGTGCAGGGCATCTGGTTTCCCTGGGTGTACATTCTCTAAATGCATCTGTTGCAAAGCAAGGCAGCTGAACTCCCCACAGGCAGTCAGAGTAACCATGGCGGGCCAAGGTGGACTTGCCGAGGAGGCAGAGCCCCTCTAGCCTCTTGCCTCTGCTCGAAGACCACCACCACCTGAACAGACCAGAGCAACTCCTCATCCATTCCCTCAGTAAATCTGGAGCCGGGCACCAGCACCACATAGTGGAGAATGTGGAGGACGGGGTGCCAAGGGCCACCTGCCATGGCTCTCGGGGCTGGGGAGGGAAAGTACTTCTGGAACACATCTGTGCCCAGGGCCAGTGGGATGCAGCAATGGCCACACAGGAGCCCTTACTGGGGAGTTTGGGGCTGGGGGGAAGCAGATCAGTAAGCAGACAGCTAGTGGACAGGGTAATCAAGGATGCCCACTCACGAGCCTCCATATTTTCCAAACCGTGCCCTTTTATTAAGCTACATCATCAAAAGTCACTGTCCCAGTGACATCCTGGGGCTTCAAAAGCTGGCACACCTGAGGGGAGGGGCAAGAGGGGGGCAGCTTTTCACTGAGGTCCCATTTTAAAAGGGGAAGCACTCTATTCTTTCACAGGGCTGGTTTCCCCAGAGCCATTCGGCAGCACATCGCTCAGGTCCCATTAAGAGAGCCTCCCTGCTCGGTCTGTCCCCGTGAAGTGATAGGATATGCTTCCCGGCGAGTGTGAGGGCTGAACATTTCCTTCTCCGCCCTGCGTGCCAGGAAGCCCAGAGACAACGTGTTGGTTCAGGTTCTGTGGCTCTCCTGAACTAGGATTGCTTTTTTCTTCTTTCCCCTCATGCCTTCCCCAGGAAGGCTTGTTTTGGGGGGCGTTATATTTTACTTTGTGGGGGTGGTCTTGGAGGCAGGACTGGCAGTGGTGTGGTAGTCAGAAGAACCAATATGGGGCCAGACACACTTGGGTTGCAGTCCCCACTTGCTAGCTGGGTCATCTTGAGCAAGACAGCTTTGCCTCCTCAATCCTTACGTGGAAAACTGGGATGATGAGCACAATTAAGGGATACGGGTTATCGTGAAGCTAAAACGAGTCCGGTGGGAACACCTCTGTCCCCTTTCCCTCTTCCTAGATCAGGGGCTCCATCTGTGGTTCCTTCACCCCATCTGTGCGTCCTTCATCCTGCCTGTGTCAGTCAGCTCTGGATGAGGGATAGATACGGCCAGAGCCACTAGGTGACCGACTGGCCTGCTTTGTCTGGGACAAAGGGGTTTTCTGGGAGGCAGGATTTCCATTGCTAAAGTGGGAAGTTCTGGGGCAGACAGAAGAGTCAGTCACCCTAGAATACACACCATCACCATCTCAGTAGCTGACAGGAGCAAAGGCTTATTTCTTCCTCGTGCTGCTATCCATCCGGGACCTCAGCAAAAGGAGGAGCATCTATCCCGGAAATTGCCAGTCTCGGCACAAAGGAACTCGTGGTAAAAGTTCTGTTCAAGAGTTGGGACTGTCCCTTCCGCTCACACTCATCAGTCCAAGCCAGTCACATGGCCGGGCCTGAGCCTGGGGCGTCCTGCAGGCTGTCCTTGCGGGGAGGGGCAGCTAAGAGTGTGAACCACAAAGCAATCTACACGCCCCCTTCCCTTCTTGTAGCATTTTGGGGTGCTGGGGCAGGGAGGAGGGAAAGCAGAGAGAGATGCCCGTCTGCGATCGGTGGTCTTCTGTGTGGTCATCCTGTAGATGACATGTGTGTGTTTCTCAGGGGCTGCTCAGTCTCACCCCGCTCTGCTCAGAGGAGCAGCTGTGTCTGCTGTTGGTGCCTAATAGTGGTTGACACCCTCACCTACCAAGGTGTCTCTGCCGGGGCAGCCGGGGCTGGGACGTCTCTTCTAGCCCCCGTGCTCCTCTGTGTGGAGCCCCGGAGATTCTTCTCCCTGAGCTCCAAGGAGAATGAGGGGACTGAGGGGGGACCAGGGGGACCACCAAGTTCTCCCCAAGCACACTGCACAAGTCCCTTCGTGCCTCGCTTCCTCTGACATCCAGGGAGCCTCCCCCCCTCCCTGCTTTGGAAGTCTCTAGCTCAGAAGTGGGCACACATGTGGCCCCCGATTCCAGAACCACAGGCCAGGCTCTCCCCAGAGTATCTTCACTCTGTGTCACTTGGATGGCAGCACCAAGGCTGGCCCTGAGCTCCCCTTGGCAAGGACCCCTCTCCCAGTTACCTGTGGTCTCTTGGAGCCCCATCCCTGGGCTCAGTTCTCTTTTGGAAATAGCACAGAAAGAGAGTTTTTTTTTTTTCCTTTCTTTTGTTGTTTCATTCATTGTCTTACATCTAAGAACACCTTCTTGGAGAGAAAACAGTTTTCCAGAAATACTTGTCACAGCTGATTCAACTTCCTTACTTGGTCTAAGCATATAAGAAAGGCCTGATTTTTTTTTAAAGATTTTATTTATTTATTTGAGAGTGAGCAAGAGGGAGAGCACAAGTGGGGGGAGGGGAAGAGGGAGAGCAAACTGCCCACGAGCAGGGAGCCCAAAGCCAGGCAAGGCCTTCTGATTTTTATTTTGCAAAATATAATGCCAAAGTTAATGCTAGCATTCATTATTTCTATAAAGTAAATTTGAGTATTGGAACAATTGGTCCAGGTAAGAAATTGCATATAGAGTGTGGTACGGAGAAGGTTCTTCTAAGTTTCGGAGAAGTGGGGGAAAGTGAGTGAGGTATGGTACTGGGAGCCCCCCAGTAGTGAGCTCACGGGGCGGAGGGGCCACAGGTGTGAGGAGAAGGACCAGAGCAGCACGGGCAGAGGCAGGAGGCTTCTCTGAGCAGGTGCTCCCTGAGAGCACTTGAAAGGAAAGCAGGAGTTCACCAGGTGGGTCAAGGGAGCCACACCTGCAAAACAGCGTGGGCCCAGTTGAGGCCACGTGCTCTTGAGAACTTAAGTATTCCGGTGGCCTAGAGCTTTGGGCATCAGATGGGCAGAGCAGGGCAAGACAGGACAAGAAGCAAGCAAGCAAGCCCATTGTGGAGGTTTGATGTTTCCTGGCAGGGCGTTTCTGGAAGGCTCAGGGCAGAGCAGTAAAGCCACTGAAGTGTTTTAAACAAGGGGGTGTCCTGTGACCGGGGCGTGGAGGGGCAAGTGTAGGGAGGAGAGCAGCCTGGATGGAGGCAGTGGCCAGGGGACAGAGGGGAGCAGCTAGGGCTGCCCGTCAGAGGGCTAGTGGGGTGAGGGGAGGAGAGGGTGCCCACGTGGGTCCCGGATTGCTCATCTGGGGGCTGGAGAAGAGCATGGGACCTGGGTGGGGAATCAGACCGAGGCGGAAGGGCATATGGTAAGCGCTCCGGCAGCACTGCCCTGGGGACCTGGTGTCCGGGGGCTGCTCCACGGAGGCTTAGGGACTGGAAGCCCAAGATCCCGTCGTGCTGTTTGCACGTGTCCAGACTGGCTCGCAGAGTCAGAGGGCGAGGGTGTCTGAATCGGACAGCAAAGGGGAGTAACTTAGGAGGACAAGAGCAGCCCTGTTCCTGGACATTCATTTGAAGACCTCTGCCACGATCAAGCCCCAGGTAATCGGAGGGCTGCAAGAAGTAGCCAGCGGAAGGTGCAAGCCCAGGAGTTTCGCTTCAGAAAGGTCAGGAAAGGCCCATTCACAGCCTGAGTCTTGCCGTCTCAAGGTGGAGCCGGGAGGGGGTAGGAGGGCAGGCGCAGCCGCCTGTGGAGCCGGTTCCTCGGAGATGCCGGGACCACAGGGCGGAGCGGAGACACACCCCTCCCCGCCGCCCCGGCCCGCCCCCGCCAGCAGGAGAAGGCAGGGCCGCAGGCCGTCTGCTAACTCGGGCGCGCCTTCTCACCACTGACTCCCCTTCGCTTTGGGTGCCCGCACTGTGCTTGAGCTTCCCGGACAGGGTCTTTAAGCGTCTTGCCTTGCTTCCAGCGGTCTTAGAGATGGGCCTGTGTCCATGTGTCCGGCCCAGTGCTTCCTGGACGCTCGCTTGCCGTGGTCGCTGGTTGTCTGCCGGTCGGGCGGGCGCGCGGCCGTCCTTGGCCGTGATGCGGCTTCTGGAGCCCCTGCGCCCTCCCGCCGTGTGACCTTGGCGAGTGTCCTCCTTGAGTCTCTCTCTGCCGCCGTCTTCTCAACCAGACAGTGAAAAAAACCAGAGTATCTACCTCAGAGAATTATTTTCAGGCCTCAATAAGTGAGTCTACATAACACCGTCAGAACGGTGCCTGACGCCAAGCGCACAGTCAATAAATGTTCGCTAGTAATTGTATTGCCTGACCCAGTAGGAGAAATGAAAAGTCCAATTATCTTCTTTCTCGTAAGGCCGCATCCAAGAATCCATGTTTAATCATTTCAAAAGCATTGTTTGTCCTAGAAGAGCTCTCCTGCCAGATTGCTTCACGTGTTCCCGGTTTGGCTGAGCAGGCGGCTGGAGGAGGCTGCCCGCTGAGCCTCTCCCCTCACTGAGGGGAGCTTGTTGCACGTACCCCCCGCCCCAAGTGACCTGTGTGGGTTTTCTTTTCTTGTGGGCCCTGCTGTAGGTTTCTGGAAGAAGTTGACTGCCTGAAAGGAAACGACAAAACATGAAAATCGCTTTGAGGTGACCCATAAGTCCAGTGGCCCCTTGCTCCTCCCAAGGTGGATCTGAGCTTTAAGAACTGTAATTTCAGGTAATAAAATCGCACCCCCAGCCCCCACCTACTATCATTGGCAGCTTCCATGGTATTTCTTTCAGGAAGTGTGGTTTCTCCCTGCAGCCCAAAACTTGGGGGAGAGTCCACCTCATGCAACAGTCTAGCTGTTCATAAAGAGGGAGTGGGGGCCAGAGGTGGCCGCCGCCATGTCTGCCAGGCAGCCCAGAGGCTCGCCAAGACCCTGAAGGGAGGACTCTGTACTCCTCTCTCATCTGCTTCTCCTCATGTCCGTGATAATGATAACTTCTAGCAACTGCCCATCAGGGCCTTTGATGTGATTAAATGACTATAAAATGCTTCCCAAAGAGTAATTGGAATAACCAGGAAATTTCTGAAAATGAAAAGTCCTAAGAGGAAAAGGTTTTGTTCTACCTAATAGTAGAGTGTATTATGAGGCCACTATAACAAATAGTGTGGTACTGGATTGGAAGTAACTAGATCAAAGGAACAGAATAGGAAGTCCAGAAATGGACAATAAATCAATAAAGGTGGCATTCCAAATGATTGGTGAAGGAATGTCTGGTCTAGTAAATGGTGTTGGCACAGTTATCTATCCACTGGAGGGAAAGAAGTCTCCAACCTTAGGTGTAGTATACCAAAAGTAATTTCCAAATGGATTAAGTGCCAAATAAATAAAATTATAAAATATTAGTAAAGAGGATATTTCTATTTTGGGGTGAAAAAAGGCTGCTTTTAAAATACGTCACTTTTAGTATCACATACAAATACTGCAAGCCAAGTTAAAAGGCAAAAAGGGGGTGGATATTTATGACATCTGTGACAAACAAGGAATGAATATTCGTAATGTGCAAACTTATTTATTCATTCAACATCTATTTATTGAGTACTTACTATATGCTAGAAAGTGTTGTAGGCTACTAGGGTGCAAGTAGTTAACAAAATCCCTGCTCTTCTGATGCTTATAGTCTAATGGGGAGGAAGTAAATAAGTTGATTATTGATAGGGGCCATGGAAAAAAAATGAAGCAGGGTGGGGGGGTGGTTAGGGTGGATTGGGGAGAGGTTGCAGTATATGGATATTCAGGGAAGTTTCACTGCCGAAGTGACCTTTGAGAAGAAATATGAAGGAGAAAGGAGAGAAGTGGTTAAATTTGGATGTCTTTGCAAATGTTGAGCTGCTGGGATTTTCTGACGGATTGGGTGCAGGTTGTAAAAGGAAGCAAGGAGTCAGGATGACAGGTTTGGGGCCTGAGTGTTCAGAAGTGTGAGCATCACTAAGGGGCTTGGCTTGGGGAGAACCAGGGGTTTGGTTTGATGTTTCAGTTAGGTCTCTGTTGTATATTCAAAGGGAGACCTCAGGGAAATGGTCCTCTAAGTTTGGAATTCAGGAGTGGTCCAGGCTGGAGGTATAAGTTTGGGAGTTCTCAGAGCCTAGATCATATTGGAAGCAGCGAAGCTAGACGGATCTCTTAGGGAGTGGCTATAGACAGAGGAAGTCTGAGGACATCTGCAGGACTCTCATGTGGAGGTGAGGGAGGGGGAGGAACCCACAAAAGAGACCAGCATGGAAAGAGTGGCCACCGAGATAGAAGGGGACAATGAGAAGGTGGCCTCTCCAAAGCCAAGAGACAGGAGGGACAGATCAGCTCTAGCAGATGTTGGAATGGGGCAAGTAGGAGGGAATGGAGAGCCAGCCACCGGATTTAGCAATGAGGAGCTCGCCAGGGAAACTAACAGGGGCTGTTCTGTTGGAATGATGGGGACAAAAGCCTGATTTGAGTTGGCTTGTACTGAGTAAGAGGAAAAGAATTGGAAACACAAATGGGGTACTGACTAGAAGGGAATGGAGTTCAAAAAAATATGTGGTTTTTCCCCGAAATGAGAGTTGTTGTTTGTTTGTATCCAAACGAGAGTGATCCAGTAGGGTAGGGAAAGTGGATGGCGCAGGATGAGCGGCAGTCTTCAGTAGTGAGAGACGATGGAGTGCCCACCCGTTGGGGGTGGCAGCGGCCGGCGGGGGGGTTCCTAACCAGCAGCGTCTGGGTGGGCCAGTGGATGTGCTTCCTTTAATCAGTGGCGTAGAGAGCCAAGTATCTGCCGAGAGTGAGGGTGGGGAGCTGTCAGAGGCTTGCGGAGAAGAGAGAGGGTGTGACATTCTTGGTCCGGGGGGAGGGGGGAGCAAATGGAGCAGGAGAGTCAGGGATCACTGGGCAGAGCTGGTGTTGGAGGTGTGAGAGGTTGTGGGTGGAAAGTGAGAGTGGCCAGTTCATTGTGTGCTTTTCTCCCCCCAGGCTGAGGTGCGCAGGTGAACATGAGTTAGGAGGCCCATCCATACTCAAGAAAATATGGTAGGAAGGACATGAGTGGGCACAAAGGAAACCAGAGAAATGCCTATAAACATAGGGACAGCATCCGTAATCATTTAAAAATGCAAGTAAAAACCAGTGGGGTTTTGTGCTTTCCTTCAGATTGACAGGAGCTCTTGTTGGGAATATAAATTACTGGAGCTCTTTGAGAGCACAGTGTTCCAGAACGTACCAAGACATACCATGTGTGTTCCCTTTTGTCCTGCTTTTAGACATTTTAGACTGAGCGATAATAGCTCCAGGGCCTGGAGTTAGAGCACAAAGATGCTCCCTCCGGCAGTGGTTGTAAAAGTGAAAAGTTAGCGCACACCCAACCCTGGTGCACTCATCTGTGGGCAGAACCGTAATCAGGAAACTGAGCTCACAGTCCCCTCTTGCTTTGCAGATGAAGAAACTTGAGCCCAGAGAGAGGGAGTGACAGCCCCAGCCACGTGGTGTGGAGCTGGGACCCCGTCTGTGGGCAGCGCGTGGCCCTCTTCAACTTGGTTTGGAGTCGGAGTCCCTTGCAAGGTACTTGGCAGCCTCTTTTTTGGGGCCGGCTGACTCCACGCTTATAAAACATAAATTCTCAAAATGTATTGCAAATTGGTCTACAATGTCTTTATATCCTGATGCAGGTTTTCCTGGCAGGTGCAAAGGCTAGTCAGGGAAGGCAGGACGGACTTTGCCTGGCCCACTGATAGACAGCGACCATATTTTCCTGGCTGCTGGGAGGGACCCATGGTCTGAGAAAGGATATTTTCTGCTTTCCTATGACTTTTACAAAAGTCACAAAAACACAAAGATAACCAGTAAATCATATTTATTTTATGGACTGGAAGTAAATAAAATTAGAACTGTCAGAGAATATCTGGTCCCCTCCATGGGAGGAGCACTGGGCCCAAGTCCTAGAGCCTTGAGTTCTGGAATTGTTCTTACATGCCCTGGCACGGGGACCCAGGAGAAGCTACCCACTTGCTCTGAACTTTGGATCTTCCTCAGAAATATGAGCAGGGGGCGCCTGGGTGGCTCGGTTGGTTAAGCATCTGCCTTCGGCTCAGGTCATGATCCCAGGGTCCTGGGATTGAGCCCCGCATCGGGCTCCCTGCTCAGCGGGGTGTCTGCTTCTCCTTCTCCCTCTGCTGCTTCCCTTACTTGTGCTCTCTCTCTGTCAAATAAATAAATAAAATCTTAAAAATATGTGAGCAGGTTAACCTGCATTATCTATGCTAACTCCTAAAGCATGTCCACTGTTCTCTCCGGCCCGCTGCGTCCCTGTCCCAGCTGGCCCTGGGGGAGCTGTGTTAGTGCAGTAGACCAGCACCCCAACCCTCCGCGGGGCCACCCTGGCCCTCCACCGCGGTACAGAGAGCGTGTAGAAATCACCTTTGTGCCTCCTTGTACCAGTTCCAGACCTCCAATGGCCGACCAGAGAATGGACATTTCTTCGACAATCAGTGACTTCATGTCCCCGGGCCCCACCGACCTGCTCTCCAGCCCCCTCGGCACAGGCAGCATGGATTGCAACCGCAAGCGGAAAGGCAGCTCTACCGACTACCAGTAAGGCCTTCTGGGACTCTTGGTGTCCGTTCCCTGCACATCGAGGGGCCAGCTGCTGTTCCTCCTGGAAGAAGGGGTCCTCTTTGTGGAAAGGGATGGAAACGAAAGATCCAAGTCTAGGTGGCCCCACCGTGGGGTTTGTTTTTGTTTTGTTTTGTTTTTGCTTTTATCTTCCCCCTGGATTGCAAGCAGGAGGGAGCCTCCAGCCCTGCTGAGGCACCCCATCCCCCTCCCCTCCCCAGACTGTTCCCCGTCAAGGGAAAAGGAAGAGCCTTAAAGCCAAGGTCTGCTTTTCACCCTTTTCCTTTGTCCTCCTTGGCTCCCTTGAGCAAGATGCCTAAGCCCCTGGATGTAATCTCGGTGGTTTCAAAGAGGACTTTGCCCGAGGCTCTCTCTGAGGAAGCCCTCAGTTGCTTAATTACGTTTGTGGAAGGAGTGAGTGCAGGTCATCTCGGAAAGTTCTCTAGGAACATTGGTATTGCCCTGAAACATTAGTCAAATTAGTATGTACCTGTTTTATTAAATAGTATTTTTGTTTCTTTTTAGACTTGATGACTTTTCTTTTGAGTAAGTAAATTTGCACACTTACAGTCAACTCTATCTGTACAAACGCCCAGGGAATAGACTGCCGCATAGAACATTCAAAGGCACGTTTTGTTTTGTTGAGGCAACTGCGTGGAATCTTCTCTCCATGTCCACTTAAGAGGTTTTCTCTTGTTTAATGAGGGAAAAATCTCCAAGGAGGTATCTCCCCCACAGCAGATGTCCTTTCTGCTGAAGTTCACAGGTCGAATTTGGGGAGCACAGTGGCTGAAGGTCAGATGCCCACTAGGAGATGCTATGATTAATATGTAAGTGATCCCAGATGATTGAGCAAGCCAACGCCCAGGGGATGGAGAGTGGGTGTGCGGACTGAGAGGGATCTTCTGGAGCAGTCCCTCCCCAACAGGGAGGCCAGGAGATGTTTTCCACGGACCACTTGTCTTGGGCGGATGGAGTCACTGGTGCCTTCTAAGACCTCTGCTATCTAAACCTGTGGTTTCCAACCTTGCCCCCACCCAAGAGCTCCAGGTTTCCCTCATGGACCCCGTTTACAAATCTTCTGTGACTCATGGAGACCCTATTAAGCACCCCTCATCCCTTTCCCTGTCATTTCATTGTGCTAAATGTGTCTGATCGGTCAGGCGGAACTCTCTTCACCTGGGATGATTATCCTGGCCTCAGGGACCAGATACAAGCCACGACAAAAGGGGAGGGAGAGTCTTGGTTTTTCCCCTGTGGCCTGAATCCTGTCTTCTGTGCTTTAGGACTGGCTAGACAAGCTCTCTGCCTGTGAGGCAGTCAAGGGCTCCTGGTTGGGAACCCCTGTTCTAGAATGCCCATGCTGTGATTCAGTGCTCCTGAGACAAGTTGTTTTTGCCCTTGGGACTACATTGTTTGAAGGGCCATATGCCTCTCTTCTTACAGGATAAAAGAGAAAGACAGGCCCAGGTGCCAGGCAGTGCCCTCCTAGTGATAAACTTAGGGGCTGGAGAAGGGTGTGAGCTGACCCCAGGGGGATTTGGAACCCCTTCCTTGGAGGATTCTAGGTTGTTTTCTACTAAACCGTGAGGTGCCATGAAACTTGGATCTCTGGAGTCTGTAAAAGGGGGGTAGATCCCTGCCGTGACCCCAGGATCCTCTGCTGCCAACCAGGGCTCCATGCCCCGCAGCCCCACTGGTGCCCTGTCTCCCAGTTCCTCGGGCCTCGGGGGTTCCCACCTGGCTGAGAACCAGAACACTGTGTATCCGTGTCTTTGAAAAGCTGCCTCAGGGCTCTGCTCAGTGCTTCTTTGTGGGTTCTTTGGTCTCCCCTCCTCACTTCACCCTCCCACCAAATATATATGTATGCACACGTATATTTGAGGCTTGGTATATTTTACAAATGAATAAACTCCATTTATCCAGAATGATGAGGGGAATAAGGTATTATAGTTATTTGGACACTCTGATTAAGAATTTCCATAAATTGCTCTGTATTCCTGATTTCCAAAATATGGCATAAAATATGTTAACAGCATGCTCTGTTGATGGCCGTACGTCATTTTTGTTTGATCATCTGGAAAACCGGTCCTAGTTTGGTAGGGGCAAGCTGTGTGTGTTTGACTAGTCTACGTCAATCATCAATACTGTGGGTATTTGAACTCTCTGATTATTTGGTTTCTGGATAAATGAGAGCCCTCCATGTTGTAAGAAGCAGCTTTGTAGGTGTTTATTGACAGTTACTCATGTTCTCTCATGTTTTTTCAGAGAAAGCATGGACACAGACAAAGACGACCCTCACGGAAGGTACCATGAACCTAGTCGTGACGTTCATCCTGCTATAGCTATTTTCCTTGCATAATTACATGTTCTGTTACTTGGTGCAGGTCCCACCTGTGTCCTTGATTGGGGATAAGCAAGGAGGCGGGAGCCTGGGAGCTCAAGATGCTCTCCTCTGGGCCCAGCCCCCAGTGTGGATAATAAGAGCCCTTGTGCATTGAGAGAGATGACAGGGATTAAGCAGGGAAATGAATGAAGCTGGGAAGAAAAGAGAGATGTGTAACTTTGCCATTAGTCTCCCAGGGTTTGTGTCTGATCTTTTGCTTTTCTTTTCCCCTTCCCTTCCAGGTTAGAATACACAGAGCACCAAGGAAGGATCAAAAATGCCAGGTAAGCGTGGACCTGTCTATACACCGTCCTGGTTCTGGGCGCTCGGAGTGCAGCTGAGCCGGCTCTGCGTGTCTGGTCCCTGTCGGTCTAAGCATCCCTTCGGGGACCGGGGTGGGGGCCTTGGCTGGATGTGGCCACCTGCCGCTTGTCCCCTCCATACTGCGTTGGCCTTCACTCTTGGCTACCTAAGCACGTTTAACCTGCAGGGGACTTTGGAAGTAGCAGAAAGCCCCGCAAGGCTGAAGCTCTTCCCCAGCAGGTTGCTCCTTCCTGACTCGAGGGCCCTCCCCAGCAGACCTGGCTCAGTGACTCCATTCTTGGGCCGGGCCTTGCCTCTCAGGGCGGTCCTTCTTGCCCAGCAACGGAGGCATGGGGCTGCCTGCGCCCTTGAGTAGATTCTCGAACTCGGTCCCTCCTGCCTCCAGCCACACTTGCTGACCCCATCCACGTGGGTCTGCCCTCCTGCCAGTGACTCCAGGGCCATCTGAGGCAGTCATGACACAGACCCAGGGCTGCAGAATTCGACTGGCCTGAGACTTCTAGCTTTCCCCGCACAGCCTAGCTGTGGTGGGAGGTCCCTCTTGGTGGCTCTGTTGCTATGGCAGCAAACGACATTTCCACTGGTGATGCACTCCACAGGGGACAATCACAAATGGCAGGTACAAACCAGTCAGGGAGAGCATGTGTGCCTGTGGATGCATCCTCCTGCCTTGACGGGCAGCCACTCCTGGGAGGGAAGAGTGTGACACTCTTCAGAGGAAGCTCTTGGGGACAGATGGAGCATCTGCTGTGTCCTGGTGGAGTCATGGTTGATCCAAAGATGGCAGCACTAGTTACCTAGGGACTCAGTCGGGAGTCTCTGACAGGCCACACAGCGGGCTCCTCACAAACCTCAGAGATCTCTGCAGGACTACAGGCTCCCCCCGCCGCAAAGCGATTCTGGATGCTTTGCTCTTTGCAGACTCTACCTCCCTTCCCTTTCCTCCCGTGCCCATCTTAAATTCCAACTTTACAGAGGCTGAGAGGAAAAGAAAGGAGAAATTACCAATCCAGTTTACTCTGAGCAGACAGTTTTTGTAATATTTCTTCCTAATTCTAAGTATGAGGTAAGCATACAAACAATAATGACCCCACGCAGTGAGGCCACTTCTTTTGGTGCCTTTAGTAGAAAAGCCGAGTTCCAAGCCTTGTGCAGATTCTAAATGTGCCCTGTTGGGGGAATGTCAGAAGCCGTGATAACTTATTTTTGTCATTGTCTCCTTGAGGCTCGACTTCATTTTCTAGACATCATTTTTCCTGTTGTGCAGGGAAGCTCACAGTCAGATTGAAAAGAGGCGTCGGGATAAAATGAACAGCTTCATTGATGAATTGGCTTCTTTGGTGCCCACGTGCAATGCCATGTCCAGGAAATTAGATAAACTTACTGTGCTGAGGATGGCCGTTCAGCACATGAAAACATTACGAGGTAAGACCACGGGCTTTATTGTTCTTGATGCCCTTGCCCACACATGTTCCCTCCCTTGCCTAGGGTGTGCCTGAGTCCCCAGGACCGTGTGTATTATTTGCCAGTGTGTAGCCTTGAGTAACTGTCCTTCCCGGCAGTAGACCTGATGCCAAATGAAGTGATTCCTGAGCTTATGGGGGTGTCCATTTGGGATTTTGCAGTCCTATATCCCCAGGGGGTAGAGGCTGTGGTCTGTGCATGCGTCTGCACATGTATGTGATAGGCAGGCTACGTGCATGTCAGAGAGGACCCACATCTTGCATGTGTCTGTGCGCTGGGCCCCACCTGCCCAGTGATCACCATCAGAAATGCAGGTGCCCTTGGTGACGCAGAGAAGTCTGTTGCTGTTTTTAAGGGGAAAATTCACCGTGGCTCCTTTAAAGAGTGAGTCACTGGTTGATGGTTCTTGCTGCGTTTTACTGTCAGGGATGAACACTGATGATATTTTCATGTTCCTGGAATTTTCCCAAACCAGATAGACTCTCTATGAAGGAGGCAGTATTTTCCTTCTTTTCTGAGTGTGGGGTGGGTGAGAACACAGAGGCAGAAATGTGGAAGCAACTCATCCAGACCGCAGGAGAAAGCTGCAGTGTCGCAGGCACTTTAGTGAACGCTGGGCCTGGCATGTTCCATGGCCTGTCTTGGACCCTTTGAGGAAATTGGAAAGTGGGCGCTCAGTCAGACCTCTGACCTGCATGGTAAAAGAATTGCGTCTTTGTTTCCACAAAGCCACCAGAAAGAAGGAGTAGCCGGTTTCGTCTGCCTTTTGATCGCTATTCAGACACATCAGCATCGTGTCCTGTGCTGTGTGGCATCTAAACATTACTATTAGGGAAGATTGTGGGGATTAAATTATTATAAGCTAATTTTTTATTAAATTGGAAGGAAACGAGGGACAAATCTCGAGTTATATAAAAAGCAGGGATGTGGCTCAGTGTGTGCCTTGTTAGTTGATATGAAAGTCAGACACATTCTGTCAACCTCCTCCTTCACTATGGTACTGAGAATTGCTACAGATCTTTTCCATTTTATTTCTTCACTGTTCTAACCATTTTTGCAGATTCCAAGGTCATTTGCTGCCGGCATTTTTCTCTGTTACTATACAGTGTTCTCCTGTATGGTGTTCTCTCGTACGGTGTTTTTCCTATACGGTGTTCTCTATATGGTGCCAGACGGATGGCCTTTTAAGCATCTTGTCCCCTTTCAGCCCGAGGAGCCAGAGTTGTATTCACTGAAGTAATGCATTTCTCTGGGTTGCCAAGCTCATTTGCCTCACCCTGATGAAGAAGCACTCCCACTAAATGCCTTCTACAGTATATTTATTTACTCAGAGCCTGGCCGCCTGGGTGATTTCCCAGGAAGGCTCAGCATGGTCATTTGAGGGACTGCTAGACAACGCATTTAATGTCGGCCCTGGGAGGAGGGAACCCTCCCAGGAGCCTCTGCCGGTTGACTTCCAAAGCTGCCTTCTCTCTTTGAAGCAGATTTATACTTCCATCTATGACCTCTTGGCTCCCCTCCAGTGACCAGAGCAAACCTGTTAGGTCCCCTGTGGGCAGCAGTGTTGTCTTTTCAATGGATCCTGTCCGAAGCCCGATCTAGCCCTGTGTCTGTTAAGGAAAAAGAAGAGAACGCTGAAGTCCCAGGTGGTAGGGACGAGGCCACATCTGGAAGGTCGGAGGCAGTGAAGTGCTATGAGCCGTTCCCTGAATAGAAAGTGTACCAACTCTCTTTTTTTTTTTCTCCCTCAGGTGCCACCAACCCATACACAGAAGCAAACTACAAACCAACTTTTCTGTCAGATGATGAATTGAAACACCTCATTCTCAGGGTATGTCACAATTATGAGCTTGTCTTATACACGCTTACAAATTTCAGTGTGAGGTACCAGAGTGTGGGAATTTGATGTCTAAACATTGGGCCTTTTGAGGCTGACTTCGTCTTTTCGGGTCTCCACATCTGTCTGGACAGTCTCCACAGTCCTTCCACTCTTGCTTAGACAAAAATTGAAGGCCCAGGCTACTGTGATTTTTAAATGGAAGGAGGCAGGATTTTGTACACATAGGTAGTTAAGAACCCCATTCCTGCATGAAGGTTTTTAGAAAGGGACAGGCACTGATAACAACGGAGAATTTGTCTTCTCCTCACCTAACCGCTAGCACAAAAACATCCACGTACATCTTGACACTAAAATCCCATCAAAGCAAGAAGGCTTCCAAAGCCCTCTCTGCCCAAGGAGAAAAGAAATGGGGGCGGTGAGGCTCTCCCCTCTGGACCAGCGTGCTCGCTTTTCTTGCTCGTCTCTGTGGAGAGGTGGCGCTGCGAGAGCTTGGCTTCCATGTGGCATTAGGTCTGCCTCCGGGGGGAGCGAGACCAACTTGGAAATGGAAGGGAAAGAAACGGGATTCAGAAGCCTGTCCTCTGGCCAATTGTGAACAGAAAAACAGAAAAATGTCACCCGCCTCCGTCCCCCCACAGCCAGGGTGGACGTCGCTTGCTAAGCCCCTATGGCATCTGGGCACCTTGCTTTCAGCAGACATTTGCCAGGCCTCGGACTCCAGGCCACTCTCGTCACCCTGACTTTGCGCTCTGCCTGTCTTCTGGTCCTCTGTAAGTCTGGCCTGTGTGCTCACTCCAGCATTCTCTGTCCATCCCCTCCTGACGTGTTCTCTCAGTTGGAAAGCTTTCAGCTGCAAGGAACAGATGACCTGATGAATAGATAGGGTTTTGTTTCCCAAATACAGCCGGTCCTGCGGTAGGCCGGGAGGGGTTGGTGTGGTGGCTCAGTGAGGGTGGCCGGAACCAGGCTCTGTCTGTCTTCGCGAACGGTCGTGCCGAGCTCGTGTGCAGCCTGCTTCCTCAGTGTAGCCACACCAGCCAGAAACAAGGGGCAGGGGAGTGTCCGGGCCAGCTGTCCCTTTTCTCAAGAAAGGATACGCCTTCCTAAAAGCCCGATAGTAGACGTCAGCTTCTCCGGAAGGTGTAAATTGATGACCACTAGCTTCAGGGGAAGGATTTAGATTTTTCCAGCCTCCACAGTAGAGGCGGACAAGAGTCCCCCATCAGCATTGGCCACACACACTTTCCAGAGCCACGTCCATTTGCTAGATTTTCCTTCAGAAGTGGCTCTCAGGACCCAGTGCAGAACTTCAGCTGTGGTCTGGTTGGCCTGGGGTTGAAAGGGCCTGGCTCCTTCCTTGCCATAGAAGCCATCATATTAGTGCCACGTTTTGGACCACTGTAATACCGTCCCTCCCACTCTCTTAGGGATTATTGTGAGGCCAAGTTTTTTCCATCCTGTATAGGTGTGGTTCATTTTTTTGAACTTCTGTTTCTGTCAAAAAATATTTACTGGATGGTCTTACATTCCACTTTGTCATTAGTGATCCTTCAAGGCTTCTTGTGACTGGTATATCTGATAGGCACGCCTTCTATGTCTTTCGTTCACTAATGCCACAAATATTTCTGAGACTTAGTTCTGTGCACGTGGCACTGTTCTAGGTACATCCAAGTCAACAATAAGCACGTTGTGGGGGGGGCCGGGCATCCCAGCAAGTCTGTGATGGTCCTTGGGCTACCTCTGTCAGGGCACAGCTCTGCACTCCTCTCTTCATCCTCCTTCATAAAGCCCTCCCTGTTCTCAGGGAGGACTTGCTGGAGTTAAGATACAGACTGTGTCTGCAGCATCTCTGGAGAAACCACCAGGGCTGGCTTCACGGGTGGCAGCCTCTGCAGCCACACGGGGCCACACCGGGAGTTTAATGCTCTGCTCTTGCCCTCTGCAAGGGCATCATGTTTGAACAAGGGTCTCTGCATTTTTTCCATTATGTCCTGGGCCCCACAAATCCTGTGGCTTGTCCTGATTGCCATACTGCTAATTTGATGTTTTTTTGTTTTTTAAAAATTTTATTTATTTGTCAGAGAGAGCGAGAGTGTGAGCACAAGCAGGGAGAGCAGCAGGGAGAGGGAGAAGCAGGCTTCCCGCAGAGCAGGGAGCCCGATGCGGGGCTCGATCCCAGGACCCTGGGATCATGATCTGAGCTGAAGGCAGACACTTAACCGACTGAGCCACCCAGGCGCTCCACCAATGTGTTTTATTTTGAATATATATATGTATATATATATATATATGAAGTTCCTATTATATATAACAGGTTTATATGTTTATATATATTTACATATAATATATATAAACTTCTTTTGTAATGGCAAATGCTCAATAACTTTCTCCTTTTCTAAATTTCCTGTCCGATGCCCACACTTGTCAGGGTATGGAACAAGGATTTTCATGCCATTTAAACTAAATACCTCATCTTGGGCTTGCCTTTCCTGCGCTTCCGTGTCCTCCAGCATCTGTAGGACACAGTGGTGATGTGTCTCTCCTGATGAAACTCTTCTGCCCTCCCTGGCGTGCGTCCGTGGTGACGAAGCACGGTCCAATCCCTCGCCACTTCCAGGTACCCAGTTCCCAGGAATTTGCTTCAACAGAAGGCAGGGTCCGCTCAGATGTTTGAGCGGTTCAGCCGCGGGAACTGGACTTCTGTGTTCCCTTCCCAGTGCACGTCTGACGGACTGCTTTCTCTACTGAGAGCTTTCCAAATGGCTTCCATGATGGTGTGTCAGGGAGCAGTCAGCCGGATCAGTGGATGATGGCTGGCTACTCCACCTCCCCATCTTCTGAAAACTAGGCAGACCCCGCCAGGGCTTCTGTGTCCCTTACTAAGCCTGTCCTCCCCCAAGAGGGAGCCTGTCCTGTCTCCATGTGGCCCCGTGGTGCTGGTGGCATTCTCCTAGTCTCTGCTCAACTGCTGTCCCCTGGGACCCAGCTCCTTCACCTAGTGGCGTTTATCTGCCTGAGGGAAGCCGAGTCAGAACGTGTTGAGCCTCTCCTCACTGACGATTCACTGGCCTTTGGAGCCCTCTTGCTCTCCCTGGACGTGTTGAGACCCACTTTGTTGATGTCACAGGTTCAGGCCCAACTCTGCCCAGCATTCCCTCCAGGATGTCATGGGCAGCTTCTTCCGAGGCACCTTCTGTGCCACTTCACTTCATCCGTGAAAAGCCTCAAAACACTTCTGTGAGATGGGAGATTGCCTGCAAGGCGGTGCAGAAGTTATTAATACCCTAGCTCTTGACTGAATGAGGCTTCCAGCAGATGGTGCTTGGAAAGTCTCTTCTTCTCTGCTGTCCTCCCCCGCCCCTGTGCTAGCTTAGGAAGAGCTCAGCCCCAGCTCCCTTCCGGCTGAGGGGCCTGGCGCGTCTCAGCAGTGGTGGTTCGGTCCCTCCTGCCACCTTCATGGCCGCACTGGTGCGTGTGCCATGATTTTCCTCTGGCACATTAACTCATTTCTTACTTCTTTGAATTATATTACATCCCCCAAGACCCTTTTGTGGGAAGGGGATTGGAGTTTCTCTAGATTTTTCCCAAGAAGAGACCAAGGACTGGTGAATAAAGATGTTGAATTAGAACTGTGCGAGCTGAGCATAAATGCAAGTACGTGACTGAGTGTGGAGCCCCCTCCCCGTCGCTGGGAGGCCCCCAGCAGGAGCTGAGTGGTTGGCCATCTGCAGAGCTGTGGGCAGCATTCACACAGAGACCACGGAGCCTAATATCTCAGGCGCTACAGCTCTGGTGTTTATCTGCTTCAGCCTGACAGCGTCCTGTCTCGATATCCGTATGCCTGTCTTGGGACTTTGGATTTTTACCTGTACTTAAGGTGAAGAAGAGGGAAGGAGAATGTAGGAGAAATTTTTGCTTTGCTTTTCTTGTCTCCCTTAGGATATAAGCAGCCCAGCCCTGGATCCAGAAATGATAGTCAAGAACAGTAGTTCTCAATCCTTGTACATGAAAATCATTTGGAGTAGGGGTGAGAACAAGACTCCCGATCCAGCGCCGTCCCCCCAGACCATCAGCATAAAAACAACAAACAACACACCACTCCCTATGTTGAGAAGCACCGTTCAAGAGCGGGCTCTGTAAACGGAAGTGTTCAAGTTGAGGATAGATGGTGGTCAGGATACAGGAGAGGGGGTTTTGATCTTAAAGGTTCCTTTCAATCTCAGATTCTATGATTCTACATAGTTATAATTAAAGCAATAAAATAGGACTTCTCCGGACCTTGATACTCTCAAAGGAAAAGTCTTAAAGTGAATTCACTGTTGTAACAGAAATTACTTCAGTTGGACCGTCCCCTATAATCATTAGATGATCTATGTGTCTGGACCTGCCTTGGAGAGCATCTTACTCCTCTCCTGATGCGTTAGTTGTGAGCATCCTGTGACTGTCAATGAGTACAGTTCTGTGCTTTGGATACTTAGCGAACAAGTCCTTATTTGCTATCAGAGTGATTACAAATCGTGTTTCCTAAAGTGTGATAAATTGATTATCCATTTCTCCTGATTAGGCAGCAGATGGATTTTTGTTTGTCGTAGGATGTGACCGAGGGAAGATCCTCTTTGTCTCCGAGTCTGTCTTCAAGATCCTCAACTACAGTCAGGTACGGCTCCTGTTTGGGTTGGTGGTGGGCAGCCTCCTAGCAGCCAGAAAGGTCGCCCCGCGTTTTAGAATAATTATAATATACAAGTCACATGGAAGATGCTTGTATCGTCCTCCCACACACACGCGCAGTGCTTCTTCCAGAAAATTTGTCATTTCTTAACAGAGAAATGAATTTAAACCTAGAAAAAAAAAAATCTTTTTTTTTTTTTTAAGATTCATTTATTTTCGAGAGCGAGAGAGCGAGAGCACGTGTGCATGCGTGCATGGTGGGGAGGGGCAGAGGGAAAGAGAATCTTAAGCAGACCCTGCACTCAGTGCGGAGCCCGATGTAGGGCTCGATCTCACGACCCGGAGATCATGACCTGAGCTAAAATCAAGTGTCGGACACTTAACCAGCTGAGCCCCCCAGGGGCCCCTAGAAAAAGACTTTTGGATATGTTCCACATTTCCCTCACAGGAAGGTTTAACTGATCTCATCAGCAGCTTTATACTTTCTTGTTGCTACCCAATGACTATGCCACAACTGAAGGGGGGTGGGAGGCAGGAGGGGCTATCTAACAGGGAAAGGCAGGTAAGAGAATACCCGGAGAATAAAACAATTGGGAATCCACCGATACTTTGTTTGTGATGATGTATCCCTTTTGAATTCTGTTGAACCTTGGCTTCCTCTAAAAAAAAAAAAAAAAAAAAAAAAAATGACCCTAATAACCCCTACCTTTTATGATTGTTCATAGGATCAAATAAGGTAAACATTCCTAAAAGCTTCTAGAGCAGAGTTTTTCATTTACTCTGTCCCCAACGTTTTTACTCATCCATTCATTCACTCACTCCTTCACCTACTGGTGTTTGCACGGGAAGTTGGTAAGGCAGCAGAATTGAAGAATCAGAAAAACGTGTATACATTTGAAGGGATGTAAGTTGAATGTGTCCACAGTGTCTTGCTCTTCTTGGTCTTCGAGCAAAGTTATGAAGGTGGTCGTGGCTGAAGAGCACGGAGCCTCGGGCTAGAGTCTGCACCCACGCCCTGTGTCCCTAGAAGGGCTTTCGTGGGCATCAGAAATCAGTCAAAGGGAACGTGTGCAGCTGAAAGATTCCTGCCTTCAAGGAGCATGAACTATTTATAGAAGTATCAATATAATTAAGCCCTTTTCCCCTCATGTGTTATCAAAACCAAACTCCCAATGCCTCGTTCCCTGTGTCTATATCTAGGCAGAGTGATTGGACAGGTGTACATGTTCACATGGGAAATCTTTGAAACTCTCCTGCTTAGAAAGACAAAATAAAGGCAAAGCACCTGTTGGGTAAGTTCTGTTCCACGCGCCGTTGACTCGTTTCTGTGCTTCATCCCCGCAGAACGATCTGATCGGTCAGAGTTTGTTTGACTACCTGCACCCTAAAGACATCGCCAAAGTGAAGGAACAGCTCTCGTCCTCAGACACGGCACCCCGGGAGCGGCTCATAGATGCAAAAAGTGAGTCCAGGAGAAGGCTGCGGCTGCATCCTCGGGGCTCCCTCTGACCGCGAGCGAGGACAGCCACTTGTGGCCCCCGCGCTCGGCCTCTGGCCCCCCTCCTCTCTGCCCTTTATCCGGGTCACAGGTGCTCTCTTTGGCTCAAGGCAGTCCTTCACCTTCCTTCCTATTTGTTTGTTTTGTTTCACATAAAGAAGCAACAACTCAATGTCCAAATCCACTGAGAGGAAAAACAGCTACTTTGATTCTTTCTGGTTTTTAGGCTTTTTTTCTCCCCCCGCCCAGAATCTAGAACTTCCCACTTGTATGCTCCTGAGTTTCAAGGGCTCGCGCCAGTTTGATTGGTTCCCCCCGAAAAAAATTCCCTCGGTTTACCTGAGTTACACACATGCAGCCTCCTAAGATAAAAGTAAGAAAACATGAAACCTACAAGTTTCTTTGGCCAAAGTGGTTCCTCGTTAGTCAGCTCCCCTTCCTGGCTTCCTTCTTTAGCAGCGGAACCACCGTTTGCGTCCTCCCCCACCCCACCCCCACCCCCACTCTCCGTGCCTCCTGAGTGAGGTCCTGTAGCCCATCAGTCCTGTGGCTCCAGCAGTTAAGAATGTGGTGGAGTCTGGAGTCAGATGACCAGGAGCACTTCCTGGTTCCCTATTTTTTTCCAGCTGTGTGACCTTGAGCAAGTTACTTAACCTCTCTGTGCCTCCGTTTCCTTATCTGCAAAATAGTACCTGTCTCATTGGGTAGTTATGAGGATTAAATATATTAACATACATAAAGCCCGCGGGGCAGTTCCTGGCACACAATAGGCACGATCGTCAGTATTGTGATATTTTCATTAAGTTCCTACAAGTTCAACACAGCCCCTGGTACCTGTTGCCTTTTATAGTCTGGCCCTGGCAGTTTTTGGCAGTGACACGAGAAGAAGAAGAAGGTGATGTTTGGTCCTTGCCTTTAAGGCTCTCACCATATAGTCAAGGAGACCAGGAGACAGCACCCTGCGTGCTCGGTACTGCCCTAGAAATCGTACCAGGCATCGAGAACAGACGACTCATTCTCGTGTGGGTGCGAGGTCAGGCATCCCCGACTAGGTGACAGCTGAGGTGTGTTTGAAAGGGTGATTACTGTGTGCCAGGCCATGAAGAGATGAACAGAGCAGGGCAAACGATTTCTGGATGGACACACAGGTGTAGCACCCGCTCTGTGGCTGGAGCAAACCGAGCAGGGGCGGGGACGGCGGGCCCGTGCGCATCCCGGTCCCAGGGGTGGCTGTGGGAGGTGGGCCGGACGGGGGACACCCAGCAGGAGCCCCGGGCAGCGGCCCCTCCTCTGATGGTCGCCCCCATGGCGGGCGTGTGTCATCCCTGGACGCGGTCTGTAGACCAGTAGCCAGCGTTCACAGCAGGATTATGGTCCTGCTCCTCCTACCAGTAGCTGCATTCTCTGTGATCTGGAAACCTTTCCAGACTGACAGCCCACTTCCCCACGTTGCATCTTTTATGGCCTACACTGAAGAGGAACGGTGTGGTCATTATAGAACAGTGAGGCAGGAAAGAAGAGGCTTTCTTCAAGGTCACACTCCCCCTCCTGACAGACAGTACTACTCTCAGTTTATCACATTTTGTGTATTGATTTGCAGCTGGACTTCCAGTTAAAACAGATATAACCCCTGGGCCATCTCGATTATGTTCTGGAGCACGACGTTCTTTCTTCTGTAGGATGAAGTGTAACAGGCCTTCAGTAAAGGTGGAAGACAAGGATTTCCCCTCTACCTGCTCAAAGAAAAAAGGTAACCACTTCACTTCTTTAAAATCTTAATACAGTGAGGCAGGGGGGCTCCTGGATGGCTCAGTCTGTGAAGCGTCCGACTCTCGGTTTCAGCTCAGGTCATGAGCTTTCGGTCGTGGGATCAAGCCCCACGTCGGGCTCTGGCGCTCAGAATGGAGTCAGCTTCAGAACCTCTCTCCCTGTCCCTCCTGCACGCGCGCTCTCTCTCCCTCTCTCTCAAATAAAATCTTTTAAAAAAAATAATAAAATCCTAATACAGGGGAGGCTGGCTTTGTGCACTGGGGGGCTCAGGGCATGGGGTCGGTGGTCCCTTGGAGACCCCAGGACTGCAGCCAGTGCCATTCTCCCCCTACAGGGTAGGGCCTTTGGGGAGCAGGAGAGATTGGGAAGCCCTGGTGGTTGTCACCCTGACAGCAATTCGTGGGAAAGCTTCCTCCGTGTAAATCTGGTCTGTTTTAAAGTGGTTGAGGACTACCCTCAGCCCAGTGCCAACCACTCCGAGCATCCCACCCGTCCACTGAAATGACTCTTGCTCAGTTCACCCAGGACTGTCATGTTGCTAGACACAACGGACACTTCATTTTTCTTCCATCTTAAAGTATTTTTTCCCCCAGGACTCCACGAAACCTCACTCTTCTCGTCTCCCCCAGCCTCTGCCACAGTAGGGCCCTCTCCCGACTTCCTTTTGCTGGCTCCTCATCTGTCCTGAGCCACCTTTCTATCTACACTTGACCCTTAGGTGATGTCATCTGCTCCCTTAGCTTGCCGTATCCCGTATATGCCAGTAACGCCCAAGTTTATATTTCTGGCCCAGACTTCTCCTTTGAGCTTCGGATCCGTAAACCCACTTCTTCTTACATCTGCCTGCTCCGCTATCCTCAGGGGCACCTCAAACATGATCTGTGTAAGAGTGACCACCCGAGCTCCTCCGCGCCGCCCAGTTGCACATACTGGAAGCTGGGGAGGCACCCTCAGCCCGATTCACTCTGTCCCCCACTACGGTGACGAAGACCCCCTGCAGAAGGCCTCTCACTGTGTGTATCCACCTCCCTGTTTACCGTATCACTCCGACCCCGGCCCCCCTGTGCGCTCACCGCGGCTCCTCACACTTGCCATCTCCCCACACGACAGCCAGAATGATCTTTTTGAAGCACAGCTTTCTATCGGCTCCCTGTTTAAAACCCTGCAGCGTTCCCCGCTGCTCTTGGAGAGAAGCTGAGAGTCCGTGATCGTGCGCCCCCCGCCCCTCCGTGTGCTCAGCTGTGCCGACTTCCGGTCCATGCCTCGCCCCCCTTTCTGCCCCAGGTCTCCGTCCGTCTGCACTGGCCCCGGCCCGCCCCCCCGCCCCCCAGCTCCCTTCAGCCAGCTGGTCCTTTAGAGCTGGGCGTCCGGGGCCACCGCTCACCCCCTCGGGGTACTTGTTTGACGTCTGTCTCCCCACAGGGGCTAGAAACTCCATGCTGGTGCGTCTGATGGGTTTCCCAGTTTCCCAATAACTAGCGCAGACCCGCTGCTTCATAAACACTCTGTAAGGATGTGTTTATTGTTGAAATCCACAGGTGGTTCCACACTGAATGTGTCCCCAAGTGAAATCCTCCCTCTTCTCTACAGCATACTCTCTGTTCTCTCTTTCCTGAGTCCGGGAGCAACAAGCATGCAATCCAAAAAAGTTGGGGTCCCCTTCATTTTCTTTCGCACCAAATGTTTTGATATCCATACCAAATCTCAGGAGTTCCCAGAAACTTTTCCCGCGTGCCTCCCCGCCGCCTCGCCCTCTGCGGTACCAGACCACAGCCCTCCTCATCTGTCGCCGTCCCCGCTCAGGCTTGTCTTCCTCCTGCTCCTTACCCATCCAGTTTCCCTAGCGTTCTGCTCCTGGAGTGTCCAAAGCACCATTTGCTTTTGCTGTTTCCCCACTTATGTGCCTTTGGAAGCTCCCCATTCCCTGTCTGAGAAACACACGTTTGTTAGCAAATAGTCTAAGACCCCAGTCATCTGCACCCACTTGCCTTTCCAGCTCTGTGTCCAGCCCCGCCCAGGCGCCCCCTTTCCACTTCAACCACGCGGAGCCCTCCGTTGTTTCTCGTACCGGACGCGCCTCCGGGCTTTGTACCTTCTCGACCTTCGCCCATTCTAGTCCCTTAGCCGGTGCTCATCCTTTTTGATCCACCTCCTGCCTGGTTTTCCTGGGCAGCCCTCCTCTCCCCAGGTAGACTGAGCTACTCCTCCCTTGGTATACGTGATGCTCTTGGCATGACCAGTCCAGCCCCGCACGGATGACGCTGGATGATAGTGGCCCACTCTGTGCCTTCCTCTCTCTCCGGAGTCCCCCGTCCGGAGAGCAAAGCTTCTTTATTGTTTGACTCCCTTCCCGCATCCCAGCCCGCTCCAGGCTGGCGAGCCTGCTTGCCCCCAGCCTGACACTGACCGCGGACTTTGCTTTCTAGCAGATCGAAAGAGCTTCTGCACCATCCACAGCACAGGGTACCTGAAGAGCTGGCCGCCCACAAAGATGGGGCTGGACGAGGACAGCGAACCGGACAACGAGGGCTGTAACCTCAGCTGTCTCGTCGCCATCGGACGCCTGCATTCGCACGTGGTTCCGCAGCCGGTGAACGGGGAAATCAGGGTGAAGTCTATGGAGTATGTGTCTCGGCACGCGATAGACGGGAAGTTTGTTTTTGTAGACCAGAGGTGAGAGTCTCCGTGCTACCCGTGAACACTGACCGTATAAGATTTTCACCTCTGAGTAAAGCAGAGCAGGCTGGGCCATCAGGGTAAAGAGAGAAGGAAGCGATGGGGATCTCTGCTAAAAAATGAGACCCTTCGGAATATCATCATATATACAGAGATTTTGTCTTTAACACTCTTTGGCACGTAGAGACAGCTAAGTAGGTGACATCGTGGTTCGATGTCCATGGCCAGGAGAGAAATGGTAGGCATAGGATGCTGCTGTCTGAATGTGTGTGGATCGTTCAGAAACATGGCTGTGATTGAAATTCTGGAACGTAGGACTTGGAAAAGATGACCTAGTCCTGAGCTGTCCGATGCAATGGTCTTTGGCTATGGTAATCTCATCCGGCTGTTCAAGTCTTGGTTGAAACTAAGCTAGAAGTTCCTCCGGCTCACTAGCCATATTGCGGGTACTCTTCAGCTATGTGAGGCTAATGGCACAGATCGAGAACATCGCCATTGCAGAAAGCTCCGCTGGCAACACTGATCTAGTCTAGTCTCATTTTTCTGGGTGAGGACCTGGGGCCCCACCTGAAGACCGGCCGCCTCCCATTCACAGCAGAGTGGTAGTAGACCTGAGCTGAGGACCCTGATGTGCCCAGTTTGCTGTCTGTGGCCTCCTGGAGAATATTCACAGGCTGATAAGTTTTCTGGCTATTAGAAATAGTCGCTACATGCAGGAAAAGGGCGCCGCCACTTTTCAAGGCCCTTGTGGCCCCCGCCACTGGAGCTTCTGATGTTTGGCAATTTGATTAAAAAAAAGAAAAAAAAGTAATAAAATGGAGAAGCTTTGCCCTGAGGTTTGGGTTTCTATCACATTTTTATCTGACTACTATAGTTACCATTTTTAAGTCTCCTTTCTTGGGATAACGGCTCCTTTGAGAGGCTTCTTTTCTTTCTCTTCCCTCTGTTTTTAGAGTGTTGGTAAAGTTCAGTTGCACGAAAAAATACATCCACCCAGCTTGGACCTTGTTCTTATCAGCACATTGGGGTTCATCCACTGCAGAGATGCTGTTAATTGTCTGAATAACTTTCTTTTTAAAAAAAAATTCTAGGGCAACAGCTATTTTGGCATATTTACCACAAGAACTTCTAGGCACATCATGTTACGAATATTTTCACCAAGATGACATAGGACATCTCGCAGAATGTCATAGGCAAGGTAAGCTGGGCGGGTACAAAAGGTCTTAACTTTAGGGTGTCCCCCTGCTTTGAAACTAGTCCACATAAAGGTTCCAGAGAAATCTGCCCCCAGTGATGTGGGAGTCAGCCAGGCCAGGAGTCTTCAGGCCAAAACACGTCTGAGAAGAGGCTGATGTTCCCGGCCCCCGTTTATCCCCTCACAGTGAACCCACCTCGGACTGTCTAGCAGTTTCTTGTACATAGGACAGCGCGGTTTCTGGAAAGCATCTCTTGTTCTTGTTACACGGACCCTGTAAAGATTTGGTATGGCTCAAACAGATCTGATTCCCTTTTCCGTAAAATCCTGCCGTGCTTCCTGTATTTCCCTCTTGACTTACGGCGCGGGCACATAACCAGCCTCCCAAGAGAGGAGCCCGTACTGAGCCCTTCCCTCGTTGTTCATTCACCCAGACGTGCGTTTCCAAAGAGGCCCCTTCTTGCACCTCTGCTACCGCACCCCTAGTTCGGGCCCTTGTGCCCAGCCGGTAATTGTGAGAGACTCCTAGCAGGCTCCCTTCTGCCCCACCTTCCATGTGCCATAGTTGTCCATTTACACCCCAATGGATTAAGCTTGATAATGTCCCCTCCTTCCTTAAACCTCCTGCCTTAAAACCTTTGACCAGCATTCAAGACCTTCCACCTCCTGACCCGGACCCCCCTCCCCAGCTTCACCCCCCGCTGCTTGCAGAGGCATCGGGGACATCTCCTCACTTCCTGCCCCCACCAGGCCGTGCCACGCGCCGGGCACTGCTGGGTCCTTCCCTCCCTCCTGTCCACACACCTGTACTCCTCCCTCGAGACTCTGATCTCTTCCTCTGCATGGCTGCCTCTCACGTTCCTCTCCTGAGGGCAGGGGCCGCGTGCTGTCTCCCCTCTCTCTCCAGTGCCCGGCCCGTGAAAGGTGCCGGTTACATGTTTGTGACATGGAAGAATGAAGTTTGACTAGGTGGGTGACCCTCCCTGGATTCAGAAGTCCTAAAAATGCTGTTCCGCCGTCAGGCATGGTGATGGGGAAAGGACGCGGGCCCCCCGGGACGTTTGTTGCTCCCTTCAAAGCTCGTCCCAGTCTGATGTCGATAGCCTCCGTTTCATACACTGAACAGCAGCAAGCGACTCCCACATGAACCGAAAGGCTCCAAACGAAGCCCTCGGAAACAACCCGTTCTCTGAGGGCCCGCACCCCCGGCTGATGACACAGTGATGGCTCTGGAACCTTGGCACATTTAGGATTTGGCTGGTTTTGTATGTTGGCCTGTGGGAACCATATTCATGGCTTCTTTGCATTTTCAGTTTTACAGACGAGAGAAAAGATTACGACTAACTGCTATAAGTTTAAAATCAAAGATGGTTCTTTCATCACGCTGCGGAGTCGATGGTTCAGTTTCATGAACCCTTGGACCAAGGAAGTCGAATACATTGTCTCAACCAACACTGTTGTTTTGTAAGTGTTTTCCCCGTATCAGAAGCTCCCTTGCTTCAGAGATCTAGATGCCTGGGGCTCTCTCCCTGGGAAAGCGGGCGTGGGCGCGGGCGGCAGCGAGTATCCCAGCCTTCACCACTAGCTTGCTGATACCCTCTGAAGCCTCAGGGCTGGCAGAAGCCCCCAGGGTTGTTAACAAAGAACACGCTTCCACACGGAGACCGCGCAGGCCCCTGGCTTGTGGAGTTGCTCCGGGAGACAGCAGCGTTTCCTGCCCGGTACAGCAGTTAGCGTTTGAATCCCGGCGGCCCTGCACCCTGGGCGCCCCTGGTGCTGCCGTGGACGGAAGGGTTGACGGTCGGTGAGAGGCTCGCCCAGGTGCCCGTTCAGAGCAGCCCGGGCTGCGGATGGCCGGGTGTCCGCGCCCGCCAGGCGGGCGGCCCCAGTGCTGGCGGCCAGAAGCCTGCCTCAGGCTCGGCCCCCTGCTAGGCGAGAAGGGAAGGACCTGCTCGTTGGCCAGAACTGCTCCGCACATCTCCTAACCCGTGGTGTCCAGACCCAGCCCCCGTGGCTGGAGCCGAGTGGAGGGGGCGGGGGGGCGGGGCGTGGTGCCCCTGCAGACTGGTGGGGGAGGAGGCCTTGTAGCGAGGGCCGCGCGCGGCTGCAGTCCCCTTCTCTGCCGGACCGTGTGTCCCATACGGACCAGGAAGGCCCAGGCAGGCAGTGCGGCCCAAGGCCGGGATGCTGCCCGTCCCGTCCTCAAACAGCGAGGAGCCCTGCTGAGCCACTCAGACAGACACTTCCTTTTCTGGCCTGTCCAGGTCCAGAGTGGACACCGGACACCTTGGCCAAGGTGAAAGGTGCACGGTTCTGAGCAGGCCTGACTCATGTTTCCTTATTGCTGGGATGTTCACAGAGCCAACGTCCTGGAAGGCGGGGACCCAGCCTTCCCACAGCTCACAGCGTCCCCCCACAGCATGGACAGCATGCTGCCCTCTGGAGAAGGTAACTATGGGCTGCAGGGGCATCGGGGCTTGCCCGTGAGAAGCCGCTTGTGGCCAGCATACCCTGTCCCCAAGTAGCTGGTGTCCCCAGGCCCCATGTAAGAAAGGAGGCCCCCAGGGGATGAGCACTAAGGACGTTGTCCTCTCATATTCTCTGCTGAGCCTGGAATACGGGGAGCTCAATTTTTGCTTTTCCTGAGGCTGCCTGGACCCTGGAAACCCTTGAAACAGCAAACTCCCTGCTCCTCTTGGGCTTTCCTCCATGTTGCCCAGTGACTGGGACGTGGTGCCTTTTTGGTGACTGTCACTGGCTCCAGTGGTGGGCGGAGGGTGTCTGTCAGCACTGGGCTATGTGCCATATGGAGCGGGGCTCCCTCCCGGCCCCAGCCCCTGCTCTCTGCACTTGACTCATCCTTCCACGGGACCACCTCTGCTTGCATGGCTTCCCTCAGTCCCGTCTCCACCAGGGACTCCTACATCTGGTCTCTCGGTCTCCAGAGCTCTAGGTCTGTCTCTCCAGCCACCTCCTGGACAGAGCCACCTGGAGTCTCAAAAGCACCTGAAATTCAGCCTCTCCAAACCCAGTCTCTGCACTCCTCTGGGTGCTTAAGCCAGAAACCTTGACTCCTCCTTCTCACCCGTTCTCTCCGAACACGAAATCCTGTCCCTTCTACCTGTTAGACTTCTCCATTTCCCTCCCATCTGTCGCCTGGATCATTGCAGAGAATTTTCTAACCCTAGTCTCCCTCCCCCACCCAACCCCCTTTCTCCACTGTCATTCATTCTCCATGCAGTGGACTTTGCAGTAACCCAGTCTAAGTGCCTTTTCTGTGGGAAGTGCTTTGGCACCCCTTATCCTCGGGATCCCGTCCAAATCCATTAGTACAGTGTCCGGGACCTTTCATGATCAGATGGGTAGCTCCTGCGGTGTCATCTGTCACTCCTTCATCATTCACGAGGAATCTCTTGGAGTAGTCTCTCAAGTTTCGTCCTCCCTCAGTGCTCTTGCGTATATTGGTGGCTGTGGGTGGAATGCCTTCCCCTCCTCACCTCTCTGCCAAGCTAATTTCTCGTCCTCTCTCAAGACTCAGCTCAGAGGTAAGCTTTCCCAGGAAGCTGCACCTGGCCCTGGAGGAGTTGGGTGCCTTGGGCTTACCGGTAAAGCTTACTGCACTTGGTTCCAGCCATTGTTCATCTTGTTTGTCTCCCTGTTAGACTGTGAGCTCCTTGAGGGCAGAGCTTGCTGACTTACCTCCGTGACCCTGGCTTGCATACGGTGGTGGTCAGGAAACAGATGTTGCGTGCAGGAGCGGAATTAGATGCTTTGCTTTGGTCTCTGATCCTGGACGCAGACTTGAGCCTTCTGCTGGACTGCCTCTTCCTGACAAGCTGCGCTGTTGCCCCTAAGGGCGTAACCCGAAGGTTGAACTTCAAGTGGATCACAAGATGAACTGGTTTTAACTCATAATAGCATTTCTTCCTCGGTTGCCCTTTCCCACTCTCAGATTCCTTTGTTGTAGGTGGCCCAAAGAGGACCCACCCCACTGTTCCAGGGATTCCAGGGGGAACCAGGGCTGGGGCAGGCAAAATAGGTCGAATGATTGCTGAAGAAATCATGGAGATCCACAGGCAAGTAACACCTTCTAGTTGCACCCTTAAACCAGTGGTTCTCTGCCCAGGGCATTTTACCCCTCAAGGGATGTTTTGTAGTATCTGGAGACATTTGTGGTTGTCATACCGGGTAGGATGTTGCTGTTAAACATTCCAGTGGATAGAGACCAGGGATGCTGCTTGTTACACATCGTGTAGTACACAGGGCAGCCTCCCTCCCATTTCCCCCACCCCCAACAAAGAACTTTCCAGTCCAAAATGCCAGTAGTGCCGAGATTGAGAAATCTTGCCTTAAAGAGTGAAACCCAAACAGGCCAGAGTTAAAGGGAATTCTTTGCGAGACTCACTTTTCTTATTACTTTGTTTTATGACTCAAGGGGCTAATGAGGATGGATGAACACTAACAATACAAGACTGCAGGAGCGGTGACAGTCGGTGATCTGGGCCTTAACAAAGCATTAGCTGCTTCTAGTCAAAAAGCTGCCTGGCTTTAGTAATAGAGACCAAGCAGAAGCTCTCTTGAGAGGGCTTCTTTTCCATACGTAAGAGAGGGGAAGTAGTTTACTTGGGTTTGAGTTCTGGGCCTCTACTTGGCTGTGCTTAAGAGATTCACTTAACTTCTGGTCTCTGTTGAGTTAAGCCATAAAAGGCGGGTAATAACTCTCTCTCAAGGATTGCTTTAGGAGTGTGAGAGGTCTCAGGAACATTTCTAGAACAGAAACTGACATATGGTGAGTGCTCAAACCTTGTTGTTTAAATTTGAGTCTTTAAGAGTAGTGATTAAGAGGGAAGCAGTTACATGTTCATCTGAATTTGGGGGATGGAGAGGGTAGTAACCAGGCCCTTAGGAATGCACACTTAATGGAACATAATAAGAAAAGGGAAAAATTATTCCCTGCCGCCACTGGATTGATTTTCTCAGAATTGAAAGCTGGTCTTGTTTTCTAGTTGGGCCATAGAGGGGCTCTTATCCCAGTAGGCAGGACAGTTCTGTTCCAACCCTGTGGGAATGGTGGCTAGGACCCCTTGGGTCTACTTCAGGAACATGTCAGGGCAGTGTGCAGTGATAATCAGATTCTTACTGGCCACTATAGACATACTCTGTGCCTTGCTTGAAACCATCCAAGCAAGAACAGTGTAAAACCATCCTTGACCTCAAGGATCTTAAAATGGTTGAGAAGTCTGTTTTCTTTATGATAATAGAAAAAAGGGAGAGTGTGTGAGCTGAAGCAAGGAAGGGAGATTGCTAAGAATCCTAATAAAAAATGCTGAGAAGTTTAGACAGGAAAAAAATTGTAAGACCCCATTCATTGTAGGATGCTGAACAGATGTCCAAAATGTTAATAATAACATTATTATGTTAATGCTAATAAGCATATGGAAGTTGGATTGGAATAGGAAGAGATGAAGGTGAACATGCTTCATAACCCAGGAATGAGGCCCATCCCTCAGTGATGATACTGTCCCAAAGAAAAATCAGTAATTTAAGGACTAGAAGATGAAGTAACAATGAAAAGGCAATGCCAAGATGGGGAACCCAGGAAAATAGTGGTTTCCTAGACATAAGTAAAGGAAGATGGGAGACAGTCAGCAATTTAGTAAGTGATTAGTACCCATCTGTGTGCGCTGAGAGTGCATGGCATATAGTTGTATCCTGCCTTTGAGGAGCTTATGATCCTGGGGAGAGAGAGCTTATTCACTCCCAAGTCTACAGAACCAGGCAGCAGAGGCCAATGGCCAGAGGACTGCTGAGCACTTGGGAGCGGGCCGCCTGGGGAACCCGGAAGCTGCATTCGTCCCTGTAGAAGCTAAGGGCCTGGTGGTCACACAGCTGCCACCGTACGCGGGCTTCCCCGCCAGGCCATTCCTTCCTTTCCTGAGCTCCCTCAGCCTGACGAGCGTGTGTGCGGGTGTACAGTTCTAAGACTTTCTCTGTTAATATCCTATGCGGAAAACCTACCAGCTGAGAGGGCCTGGACCCGCTGTTCATCGCCCGTTGCTTTCAAAGGCGGTGGAACAGTTGCCCTCCTCCTCCTGCGAGGCTACTTTCCAGGTGTAGCTGAGCCACCCCAGCACCTTCCATTTCCTGAGAGTATTCACTAGTGGAAAAGTGTCTGTAGGGAAGAGGGTAAATCACTTGCTGTGGTTTCTAGTTTATGGTCTCAAAGATAGAGGTTGAACTTCTCAAGTCCCCCCCAACCCTGAGATCTGGATTCTGTAAGAAATGAAACTGGCCACTTACTTGAAACTCAACGACCTGAAATCCAAACCCTAAACCAAGGCTTTGCCAGTGAGATGCTGGACTCCAGGGATGGCAGTCTAGACCAGGTGCCTGTGGGATAAATAACAGCTCCTCGCCTGTTTTTGTAAACATAACTTTATTGGAACACAGCTACACCCATTCATTTCCATATTGTCTGTGGCTGCTTTCAAGCTACAGTGGCAGAGCTGAGCAGTTGGGATCAAGACCTTCTGGCCTACAGAGCCTAGGCAGTCACTTTGTGGCCCTTTACAGAAGGTTTGCCAATCCCTATTCTAGTTCTTCATCCTTCTTCTTTCCCACCCCCACCCCTGACACCCCACTGAAGAAAAGGAAAGCAATACAACTAACTCCTCTTTTCTCTGACAGAATAAGAGGGTCCTCACCTTCCAGTTGTGGCTCCAGCCCATTAAACATCACAAGTACACCTCCCCCTGATGCCTCTTCTCCAGGAGGCAAGAAGGTAAGGCTGATGACTCTTAGACTAAGGTCCTTCCTAATCCAGAGAGCCTCTTGCCCAAGTTCTGAAATGTTGGGGGTGGGCGTATGTGATTACCGTTGTGGTTGCTGAAACAAGTTGGACCGTCTTTTAAGTAAAGGCATCTGTGTGAGTTTAGGTATAAAGCATTTGGGTGGAGCTAGAGAGGCTTGCTGATATCCTTAGTGGATTTATTCCATGTGAATAGGGGAAGGCAGAAAGAATGTTCTAAGGAATGGGGAGGCCATTGCATTGAGGGAGCAATTCAAGAGCTCCCATGAAGGAAGGATTAGTGAGTACCTCACAGAAAAAAACTATCTAGTTCGCTGCCAAGAATTTTCAAGGGAGAAAATATCACTAGTCTCTAGTGCAGGCACGGGAAATGGTAATACTAAGCAGGAGCACTTTGGTGCTTTGGAAGGCAAGCCATGCCTTCGCAGCTGCAGAATACGTGGGGGGTCTGCTGCCTGGGTTTCCTGTGATAGGACGGCACTGGGTACAAGGACTGTATCAGTCGCCAGCCCTTATGAAGAGTTGGCTAGAAGATTACACCATCAATAAGCTTAGAAACCACTCATCTGTTTTCATCTTTGCCAGGGAATTTACAAGTGTAGAGCCATGTTAATTGTAAATCATAAATCTGTAGTGCCTGATGGTAATACAGGTTAGAATGATCCAGAAATCTTTGGACATAGTCCTCCTTCCCCTACCTCCCAAAACATACAGAGAGAAAGAATATTGTAATTTACATAGATAGGACTCCTACAACACAAATTGTATCAAAAGCAGGAAACTGCATTCCTCTGAGGCTCAGGTTACCAGGAGCTATGGTGCTACCAGGTAGGATGGGGCAAGGGTGGTTGGTGAGTAGAGAGGGCAAGGACTCCTGCTTCTACCAGGGTAAAAATTTCTATTTGAAAATAAGTTTTGATTCGACCCCCACCAAAGATTTCAAAGTCAATAAATTAATGGGTAAGAGTGATCAGTGAAAGATAGACCTAGGCTTGAAGCCTGGCCTTGCCATGACCCTGTATAATTATTTAGCCCTAGTTTTGTTTTATAACAGGGCTCCTATAGGTTAGGACACTCAGCATCTTTGCATATGAAGTCCTGTTATGAGGTAATATATGTGAAAGTGCCTGGCTTTTGGTAATGACTCAGAAGATAGTGCCAACAGATAAAGCCTAGGTTTGGTACATCCCCAATCCCTGTTTACAGGTTTTTCTCTTAGGACTGTTCTCCTGTTATATCCCTAGGTCCTTCCTCCATATTGGATCCACCATCTCCTTGGGGTGGTATCCCTTTCTCTGCTTCTCAGTTCAACTTTTAGGCACTTGACTTCCTGGTATTACCAAGAATCCCACTACTCTGTTTTGAAAGGTTATCACGCGAGTATAGTGCTTAAATATTACTCAGGGAACTTCTATGTACATTTTCTCATCTTAGCCTCACAACTTTATAGGTGGCAAAATCTAAGCTCCCAAATAGTAAGTGCTGGGCTAATCATTTAACAAGTATAGCCCCAAACTTAAAGTCAGGTCTTTTGACTTTTGATTCTTTCCACACCAACAACTTCAGAGATCTAATACTGTACTCTACGTCACAAAGCCCCAAGTATTTTTTAGGCATTAATGGAAAAATTTTTTCTTGGGGCTTATAAAAATGGATCTGAGAGAAAAAAACTCTGAATACATTCTGACCCTCAGCAACAGGACTCGTAAGAGCAGCTTAAACGAGACGGGAGTTAGGACAGCAGCACATTGTACCAAAGCCAGGAGAGTAAAGGTGGCCCCATGCTTCCAGCCCTTCCAGTCACTTTTAAATTGAGCAGGTCCAAAAATGAGCCATGTAGCTTGACCGTTATTTTATTCAGGGTCCTAAAAAAGTGAGGCTCTAAGTGCACCTCCTAGGTTCCAGGAGTCTGGACATCCAGAGGCACTAAGGCAGGTTCGGTTAAAGCAACAGTTCCCTGGTGTTGAGGGGGGCAAGATCCTTTCAGGGATCTGCAAGGTCAAAATTATTTTCATAATCTAAAAATTTTTTTTCTCTCACTGTGTTGATACATGAACTAATAGTGCAAAAAGCAGCGTTGGGTAAAACTGCTGGTGCTTTGGCAAAAATCATGGCAGTGGCACCAACCAGAACTAGTAGTCTGTGTAGTCTTCCTCACCATATGCTCACAATAAAAAAAAAATTTCAAGCCAGTTTCATTTAAGGATATCCTTAATAAGCAGTAAAAGTAGTTTATAAAATCCTTGAGTAAATCTTTCTAACATGGTTACAAAATGGGAAGTATGCGTAAAGCACTTGTGCTGCACACTGAAGTACAATGGTCGTCTCAAGGAAAAGTACCCACGTGGCTAAGTTATGAGCTAAATGAACTGCTCTGTCAAAGGACACCATTTTTACTATTGCAAACTATGGTTGTTCAGACTTGGGTATTTAGCATACATTTTCTTGAAAATGAACGAACTGGTGAGTTCAAGGAAGACAGCTGACAGAATTTGTTGCCCATGATAAAACTTAGCTTTCAAGCAAAAATTAGAATTTTTGGAAAACTTGTATCTGCTACTTTGAACTCAACAGCTTCCCAAAACTTACTATTACCTCACCATCAGAAATAACTTTTAACAATGGGGATGTTTTGAGTTGTAATGAAATGTGTCAACATCAGCAAGTGTTTTCCAAATGACCACTGCAGCAAGATACTTCAAAATCATGCAAATGTATACCAATGGATTTTTATATAATAGAGTACAAGAATTTCATTGATAAGGTTTCCGATTCCACACTGCACCTAATCTTTAAGAAACTTCCATTTGTTGAGTTTTGATGTAATATCAAAGACTACCAAAGTTATTTGAAAAAGCTATTAAAAAGGACCTCCCTTTCCCAACTACATACCTGATTTCCTTCATATACTCCAGTCAGACATCTAAATAGACCGAAGAAAATGAGAATCCTGTTAAATCCTATTAAGGCAGACACTTGATTTGCAAAAAAAATTTTAAAAAATGACATTTCTTTTTGCTATTTTAGAAAAGCTATTTTTCATTAAAATGCTATTCATGTTAACATGTTTTAGATTTTAAAAATTAGTTTTAACTTCAAATATAGTAAATATTGATAAATACATATAAACAAAAGTTCTTTGGAGTTCTCAATTCTTAAAGGTTTCCCTACCAGAAAGCTGGATTGGGAAAATAAATTTGTAATGCCACCTACTGGCAAGATCTGAAATCACTGCCTCTCCTGAAATCTAATCAGCTCACCAAGGTAATTTAGTCCTTGGCCTTAATCATGTGAATAAGGTGATCCAAGGTAATCGAATGCTGTAGGGATTTCATTCAGCCTTTAAAGTGCCTGTGTGGGCTGAATTATAGAGAATACTTTGGGAAGAGGTTTTTCTTACTGTGACCATTCCTAACAGTTTCTGGTTTGAAATCCTCCAATAGGAAACTGAACACTTTCCCCCTACATGCTTCATTTTCTTGATGATCTTGAGTACAGTACTGGTTGAAACTGTTGATATGAAATCTTCACTTTTGTTTGTAGATTTTAAATGGAGGGACTCCAGACATTCCTTCCAGTGGCCTACTACCAGGGCAGGCTCAGGAAAACCCAGGTTATCCATATTCTGATAGTTCCTCTATTCTTGGTAAGTAGCATTATTCCTCCTTTCCACTACAATGAGCTTGCACAACATCTGGCATAAAGTTAGTTTTAAGAACTGAATGAATAAAACAAGCTAGTTCTAGATAAATTTGATAAAAACTAAGTTTAAAGGTTTAAAATAGGTTTAAATCTTCAAAGTTGAGTTTAATGGTTGAGTTCGGGGGGAGGAGGGAGCCTCCAGGTTTGTCCCTGGAACTCAAAAGGAGAATCCAGCAGCCTAGATATGTACAGGCTCTTCCCCCCACCGGGGCCGTCAGCTCTTCACTGGGAGAGCTGCTGAAGGTTCAGAGAGAAAGCCTGGAAGGATGATCAGTATTTCAGCAGGTATTAAAAGTGGTAGAGTCGGCTTCTCCCATCTCACCCATCTTTTTTGCTATTTGTCTTTCTGGATTTTTTTTTTCCCCCCTAATCCCTACCTTCCTGTTTCTTTCCTTTTGTATCTCCCTCCTTGTAACTGGTTATGTCAGAATATCAAAATGAGGTCAACTCCAATGCTTTTAATCTTTATTGCATTTTAAGCGCTTTGTTTCTAAAGAGAATATATTATGGCAATGCAGCCCCAAAAGCATTCTCTTCCGCCATTCCCACCTTCCTGTTAAGAACATTGTACTTATTAAAAGTGTGCTTAGGAACTGCTTGCTAAAGTTAAACATGCTCTGGTATTCTGACCGACCGGTCTTCATCTCCCCCTGCAGGCGAGAATCCTCACATAGGCATAGACATGATAGAAAACGACCAAGGCTCAAGTAGCCCCAGTAATGACGAAGCAGCGATGGCTGTCATAATGAGTCTCTTGGAAGCAGATGCTGGGCTGGGTGGTCCTGTCGACTTCAGCGACTTGCCATGGCCGCTGTAAACACTACATGTTGCTTTGGCAACAGCTACAGTATCAAAGTGCATTACTGGTGGAGTTTTACAGTCTGTGAAGCTTACTGGATAAAGAGAGAACAGCTTTTATGTACTGTCTTCATAAGAGCCATCTCAGAGCCATTGATACAAGTCAATCTTACTATGTGTAACTTCAGACAAAGTGGAACTAAGCCTGCTCCAGTGTGTCTTCATCATCGATTATTGGGCTAGCTGTGGATAGCTTGCATTAATTGTATATTTTGAATTCTGTTTGTGTTGAATTTTTTAATCATCGTGCACAGAAGCATCATTGGTAGCTTTTATATGCAAATGGTCATTTCAGATGTATGGTGTTTTTACACTACAAAGAAGTCCCCCATGTGGATATTTCTTATACTAATTGTATCATAAAGCCGTTTATTCTTCCTTGTAAGAATCCTTTACTATAAATATGGGTTAAAGTATAATGTATTAGACAGTTAAATATTTTTAATAAATGTTTCCCTTGTTCTATAAATACTGTTCACATTTCAAATAGAAAAAAAATCCCTGTGCTGCAGGGCTGGACCAGTTTTCTCCCGTGGCTATTTCAGGACAATCCATGCCAGTAACATTTACAGTGCCTTTCTGGCCTTCGATAACCGTTCCAGGACTTAACATAGTATTTCCCTGTTAGCTTAGCTGTACTGTTAAAATAGTTATCCAAATTACTGCAATTTTATGTGAATACAGTGATGTTACTGCTTAACCACAAATTTCAAATCCTATGAAATTACAAATTCAAGATTAGTTCTAACAAATGGGCTCCTTTCCTACAACTCCTCTCTGCTCACGGTTGTGTGGCTTCACACATTAAGTGACCCTGGACCCAAAGCATCTAAGTACTTCCATCCACTTCCTTCTTGAGTTGGGCCACAGAGTATTTTTTTTAAAAAGCATTTGCACTAATAGTTTGCTTAGAAAAGCAGCACAGTATAATGGACAAAACACCGAACCAGTGTCAGAAATTGGTTCTGACACTTAAGGTTATCCTATAACCCAGTAAAGTTATTTCACCCTTCTTCTTAGGTTTGACTAGAAAATGTTCTCTTTTCAAACACTGCTGTGGATTTGCAGGGAATCTAAGTGCTTCATCACACACAAACCAAATCGGGAGATCCATGAGCTACTCGGTGGTTTCTAGTTATACTGATTCCAACAAGACAGGGAATCTGCTAATTATGAGACTAAGGATCTGGTCAAGGTGTCTATAAAGCTGATCAGAAACATTAAAACAGTGGAATTTTATTTTGATGAAAAACTCGAGTTTACAATCATTTAGTAAATGAAGAGCAAACACTTCATTTTCCTATCCCATAACTCTTAAGGAAAAAAAAATTAGTAAATAAATATCTGAACAGTTTAAGGGTAAGGCAGACTGGATAATAAACCACCTCTGATGTTCACACTTCCTGCATGTGACTCACTCTAAAAGGGCAAAAACAGCATTGGAGAGAAATAAGATATGGGCATTGGGTCTCCTCCAAACCATTCAAATCAGCCCAATGATAAATACTCCTTTTTTTGCCCATCATGGGCAGCAAACTATACACATTTTACTGAAGGAATACTTTGATAGAAGCACTTATTTCAGTTATATTGTGCATCACAACTATAAAAATGGCTTGAACAGTTCCATTTAACCACCATTTATAAAGTGCAACTATGTAATATTCTACATTTTATCTGGGGTGTGATGAATATCAATCTAAGCTGAAAATACCCCAGCTGCCAATTTTCACCACTTCTGAAAGTATCGAGATGTGTGAAAAAGGACTGTTCCCCCATACAAAGAACCAATTTCACAAACCTACTGGTAAACAAATACATTTATATAACTGGAACCTCAGGATGCTAGAGTTGTACTCATTTAAAAAAACCATTCAGCTACCTTTGGTCTTTAAAAAAGCCTACACTGCAATATCCTAAACATTGGCATGTGCATCTCACGATGAAGAGAGCAGCCTTGCAGTGCAGAATGTGCAGAGTGCAGCGTCACCGTGAAGAGAAGCATGCTATGGTTTCAAGGGACATCGGCATCACAGCATTGGATTCTGTGCATCAGGATCAAGGTCATTGTTGCCAGAAGGGGGATGGATAGGGAGAATATCCAGCTCATCCACTTGTGGAGTTGGGTGCATGACTACCAACTGGTCCTGGGGAATGTCTGCGGCAGCTGCTGCAAGATTGGTGATAGATTTACTCTTTACACACTGAAAGTCTACGTGCCGACTCTTTCCTTCTTCCTTCTCCCAAGACATTCGAATAAAGGGTCTTTGGACATAGTTGTAAATCACTTCTGGGCGGCCCCCAGGCCTCTTCTTTACTTTTTCTTTGTAGGTAGGATAACCTGGAGGAGAGAAAAGTTTTAAAAACTGAGGATACACACATACATGAGCGTGCACACAGTCCTGCACACTTCTCACCCAAGTTAGCCTAAAGAGGGCTTTTCGGCTGTAGTTCCTGAACAAAGAAAGGAAACCAATATTCCATCTCCTTGGTCATCAGTTCAACAGCCAGACACAGAAATCCTGCTGATGCAATTCACACAAGCTTCCACCATCCTCTCAGCCACTCAATACACCAACCACCAGAAAAATACTCTTGAAATAAAAACATGGAGGGGATAGGTCCTAAATACAATGGTATGTAGTCTGGTGCATCTTGGGCTCTATCTGTGTATCCTTAATATCCCTGAACCCTTCCCTTCACAGGATTATCTGGCCTCGAGGCCTGCAATTTATTGCTACATTAGCCTTCTAATTTCCTTAAACCTAAATCTCATCTTTATATTGCCTTGGGTTTTTTTCTTTCTTTGTTTTGTTAAAAGATAAAGAGCTATAGAGTTCTCCAGCTTCACTGGTTCTAGGTATACTTCTGCACCTAGATCAGCAAAGCCAATATTTTAAGCCCTTTATCATTTTAACACTACTCCCAACAACTAAGCAGTTCATTCAGATTGGCAATTCCAAAGCTGCTTCCCCTGATTAATTATACCTTCCTCTTCTTGGATAATTACTGAAAAGTAACAATTAGTGAAGACAACTCTAGTTTGGGAAAAGTTTCAGTCATTTACCAGTAAGGCAATTTTTCCAAAGATATATACTCCTTAGAAACTATTATAAGTCCCATCCGTCCCTCCTACTAGCAAGAATTGCTAGTTTAGACCAGGGATTGGCAAACATTTTCTGTAAAGGGCCAGATAGTAAATATTTCAGGCTCATTTTCAGCTTCTCTTGCAACTACTAAACTATGCCACTGTAAAGTGAAATCAGCCACAGAAATACATAAATGAATATGTCTATGTTCCAATAAAACTTTATAAAAAACAGGCAATGGTCGGGGGGGGGGGCAGGCAATGGGCTCATGGGCTACAGACTGTATTAGAATCAGAAAAAACTAGAAAGACCTGTATGTATGTGGTTCAGGTAAGGGGGCTCAGGGGCAAGCAGGGCTAAAAATGTATTAAAGACCCTCTGTAGAATGTATTGTTTCACACTTCCAGTCAATTACCATCTGTAGGGCAGCACTAGAGACAGAAAGGTCTCCAGCTCTATTCCCTTGTCCTTGATTCCTCTTAGACTATTAGTCTTTTTTTTTTTATTTTTTTTGAAGATTTTATTTGACAGACACAGTGAGAGAGGGAACACAAGCAGGGGGAATGGGAGAGGGAAAAGCAGGCTTCCTGCGGAGCAGGAGCCCGATGCAGGGCTCAATCCCAGGACGCTGGGATCATGACCTGAACTTAAGGCAGACACTCCCCGACTATTAGTCTTTAAAATTCCCACCTCATCATAGTCCAATCTGTCCTCCACACAGAATCACCACTCTGATACAAGTGTAATCAATCGTATTACTTAAAATGCTTAAAAACTACCAATGGTTTCCTCATGCTTCAAGGGAAAGTCCAAAGTCCTTCACATAATGTATAAGGCTTTTTTACAAGCTGGTTCCAACCTAGTTGTCATCAAGCTTCAGCTCAAATACCTGTGCCTGAGAGAGGCCTTCCTCATCCTCCTAATCTGCAGTAGCTTCCAGGTGCCTTCTCTCTAGCTCTGAAATCAAACAGCTAAATACCACTATTTACAAAATGACACAAGACAACACACACTGGTGACGCTAATGTGTCAACAATTCCACTATGTTTTTAAACCCAAAGTCTCTTCCCCTTCCTGCCAAGATCGTATTTCTGTTCATTCTTTCTCCTATGTCTCAGCAGCCCATTACTGTGATCTCCCAACAGCTCAATTGGTCATTGATTAACACCACTGTCTTCATTATCAGCCTCACAAACATATGCTGATAAATCACTATGTGACAGGCCCTGTTTTAAGTGTTTTTCATGTATTAGTTCATTCTGTCATAATAACCCTAGAAAGTACTTATTAATGCTCCCATTTTAGATGAGGAAACTGAGGCACAGAGAAATTAAGTGCCCTGGCCAAGGTCATACAATTATTCAGTCATAGGATTTGAACACAAGTTATGTGGCTCCAGAACCTTTAATCTTTACACTATGCCACGTTATGCCAAGGGAAATAATTTGTTCTTAGTAAGGACACTTTAAAATAAAAGAAGTATCTGACGTGGCATATGGAAAAATCCATTTAAATCACAAAGTAAAAGCAATCTAAAAATGTATGCATTCAAAAAGTTGAAATTAAATTTGAAATCTGTAATTTGAAAATAAGTTAATTTGAAAATAAGTATCTTAAGAACCAGTAAGCTACTAACATGCTTCTACATCCATTTTCAGATAGTTTTTAGTTCTGTTGGGCTTTGAGGAACACCAACAATCACTAATGGGCAAAGAGCCCTGCCAATCTTACGGGAATGTGTACATGTGTGCCCAAACACACTACCTGGGTTCAGACAAAAATGCATCAGGTGATGACCTATGGCAGAAAAGACAAATTCACTTCTCCCTATTGTTAGGGGATCTTATGGAATAAATAATAATTTCTAATGGCTTTCTATCTTTTCAGATAAAGGAAATTTTGTTATTTATAGGTCTACTGCATGCGCATTCATTCAGTCATCATTTGAGTTTTCACAAAGTATGCATTTCTCAAACTATATTCTAAATGGGATTTGATTTTTAACTTTTTTTTTCCAAAAGAAAATTAACAGAAAATAATGAAAATGTCTTACCTTCTATTCCCAATCTAATCTTCTTAAGACCCCTCTCCTTCAAAACTGATTTGGCCACATCTCTGTTTTCAATGTACTTGAAAAATCTATATAATTTTGTGCTATAAATAACTGGAAACAAAAAGACAAAAATATTTTCTTATTGAAATCAAAGTACTTGGAGATGAACTTAAAATTACCTTGATCATCAAAGGGGCCTGACAACCCTAAAAGCCCAAATAATGGATGCAGTGATGCGAAAGGATGACTAGCCAACATGACGGGATAATTCAGTACAGTTAATGTATAAGCAAATGTCTACTTAAGTTGAAACAAAAAAGCTTTAAT